TCAGAAGGTTAGAATATGCCAGAAATCATCAAAATTTAGCAATTTTGGCCTGTATTAGCTATAATACAGGCTCATGCGAGCTGTATATACTGTGCAAATTGTGTAGCCTGTGCAGGTTGCATAGCCTGCACAGTATTTTTAAAAATCTTTGATTTGTCTATCACTAGGAAAAAATACTATGAATCTAACTAGTAAGCTTTTGCATTTGCAAACATATTATAATGATGATAGAAAACCTACTAGCTATTTTCAGGAGATACCTGCTTAGATGCAGAGGAAAAGTATGTAGTTACTGGGCTATCTAGCTTAGAAGTTTAAGAGCTAGAGTTGGGGCCCTGCTATTAGATAAATAAGTAAAATTACTAACACCAACTGCCATTATCGAATTAGAGTAAAATAAGTAATATATATTAAGCTATCTAAATTAGAAGTTTGGAGAAAAAAAACTAGGTTACTAAAATATTAGGAATATACTATGAAGTAAGTTCTGAAATTTAAGTGAACTTTATAAGAGTAGAAGTAGATTTGGATAATAGAGTTAAGCCAAACTGAGATTAAATCGTAGATAAAAAGCAAAAGAAAGTTTAATTGAAAAAAAACCATAGACAAGAATCTACTACCTAGTACTATACATACTCTCAAAATAGATAAAACTGAGCTGCAAGTAGTGGCCTCAGCCTATGTATACTAAACTAAAGTACAAGCTAGATATGGTATAAAGTAAGAATATTGCGAACTTTGCCAGATTTATCTCGAAGATAAAGTAGTTCTAAGTTAGTATATGAAATATGTATCTGCAAAACTAGTTCTTAGAACTAGAAGAAGGGTATCAATTAATATAGGCTTTAGAATATATAGATACAGAGGGTTTAAATAGGTAATCTTCTAGTTAGATTGCAAATATAGAAAAAAATATAAAATCTAGAAATAGACAGACTACTTAAATAGGTATTCAAAAGATGCAGATATAACTAAATATACTTTTCAAATATGACAATAATTATTCTAACCTAATAAAAGTACAATATGACCAAGAGGTTACCTTAATACCAAAAAAAAATTAATTTTCTAATTAAAATATTCAATAAAATTAAGATTCTTCATGTGATTCAAATTAAGATTTATTGTATTTAATAATTATGTATTATTCTGTATAATCTTTGTTTCGAAAAAAATTTTTTTAACAATCTTTAAATAATAATATATTTGTTGAAAATATGTTATTCTACTTTATATTAATATACTAGAGCTTAAAAAGAGATAGTACTCAAGCTCTATATGAAGCTTTGGACTTTGTTTAAACAACAAATAAAAAGTAATAATAATAAATAAATAAAAATAATTTTGATATTATAAATAATAAAAATAATAAAAATAATAATAATAAGATAATAAAATAGGTTAATGAGAGAGATTCAAGAATTAAAATAATAAATTAGAATCTTAAACAACTAAATTAATAGTTTTAATAGAACTATTAATAAAAAGCAAAAAATTATAGTAGACTTAGTAGTACAAAATTAGCAAAAAGAAGAACAATTTGCTTAATTAGTTGTAGAAAGAAATAAACTTTGAGCAAGATTAATAAATACAGAAGAGAAGCTTAAGTTAAGAATAAAAGAAAAAAAGAAATAGAAGAAGTGGCAGAAGAAATATTTGTTGATATAGAAAAGGAATTCAATAGTATAATTATATAATAATTTTTGTAAATAAAAATTTAAATTCAATAATAAAATTTTCAAAATTTTGTAAATAAATTGTCTTAATAAAATAAAATTCTTGTATTTAATTTCTTTCTTTTATATCCAAACTTAAATAATAAGATTGTTAATAAAACTTATGTTTTCTAAATATGAAAATAATATTTTTTATATCTAACTTTATTCAAACTTAAATAGTAAAATTGTTAATAGAGCTTATATTACTAAATATAAACATTTCATATCCAACTTTATTCAAACTTAAATAGCAAGGTTGTTAATAAGACTTATATTTCTTAAATATAAAGTATAATATTCAAATAGTATTAAGATTTTTCAAATATTATTTTTCTACTTTATGTATTTGTAAAAATTTTTGCTAAAACTATATATAATTAACTCTTATAATTTTTTTTACTAGTTTATAAAATACTAAAAAGATAAAAAAATATAAAAAATTAAATAGAGCTTTAACTATCACTCTAAACTGTTCTAAACACTATATTGTACTAGACCTATTAAAGAAAAAAAACTAAAAATTTAATTTTAACAATAATAATAAAAATATTACAAACAAAAATATTAATAAAAATATTTTTACAATTTTTTAAAATGTTCTTCATCCAAATAATATGTGTTTAGATTTTAACTTCTTTGTTTTATAAATATTATGATATCTAACAGTTTTAAAAAGATGATATATTCTAATCCACATGGTTTTGTTTTTAGGATTAATTTGTTCCTCTTAATTATTTGGACAAGCCATCATTAATGCTCCAAGATGATAGCTATAAGCAAGCATTTTAATCTATTTACCATGCTTTGCTTTAGTATATAGTTTATAAGTTTTAGAAAAAATTTAGTCCAAGAAGTATTAACAAGTATAGGCACTTCTACAGAATATATTAAACTTTCATCAAAAGAGACAAGTTTTAACTCTCTTAAACTTTTTTTAAAAGAATTAATTAATATACCATAATAATTTGGTATATAGTTAAAAAAATATTAACGTCGAATTGCGGAGTCGCCACTTTAATTAGGGCAAACAGGCCCAAAAATTTTTTATAATTCGCGCCAGAATTTTCAACATACAGTAATCCACTTTCATAATAATTCCCACAGTAATTATCAACTTTATATATTCCATCAGGATCTCCCATATTGGCAGATTTTTGATAATAAATAAATGCCTTATTTTTATCCTTTTCGACTCCAATTCCGTATTCATAACAATTTCCAACGGAATACAACCCTTTAGCATCTTCCATATCAGCAGATTTTTTATAATAAACAAGTGCCTCATGCTCATTCTTCTCAACCCCAATTCCATTTTCGTAAAAATGTCCAGTATTGCACATTCCTTCAGAAGATCCAATATCAGCAGACTGCTTATAATAAGTAAATGCCATATGTTCATCGTTTTCAACCCCGATTCCATTTTCGTAACAATAACCAACATTCAACATCCCCTTAGCATCTCCCATATCAGCAGATTTTAGGTAGTGAATAAATGCCATGTGTTCGTTCTTCTCAACACCAATTCCATGATGATAACAATAGCCAACCTGAAAGATTCCGTTAACATTCTCCATCTCTGCAGATTTTTGATAATAAATAAATGCTTTGCTATCATCTTTTTCGACTCCAATACCATCACCATAACAAATGCCAAGATTATATATTGCGTCAGCCTGTCCCATATCGGCAGATTTTTGATAATGAATAAATGCATTATATTCATCCTTTTCAACGCCAATTCCTGTTTCATAGCAAACACCAAGATTATATAACCCATAAGCATTTCCCATTTCAGCAGATAATTGAAAATAAATGAATGCCTTGCATTTATCTTTTTCAATTCCAATTCCATTAAGAAAACAATCCCCAACATGAAAAATTCCATCTGAATTTTTCATATCAGCAGATTTTCGATAGTAAATAAATGCCATATGTTCATCTTTCTCAACTCAAATTCCATTTTCGTAACAATAACCAGCATAAAACATTCCATCAGCATCTCCCATATCAGCAGATTTTTTATAATAAATGAATGCTTTATTTTCATCCTTTTCAACTCCAATTCCATCTTCATAACAGCCGGCAACGTTATATGTTCCAATAATATCACCCATCTCAGCCGATTTTAAAAAGTGAATAAATGCCTTATGATCATTCTTTTCAACACAAATTCCATTTTTGTAATAATATCCAACAGCATACATTCCTTCAGCATTTCCCATTACTGCAGATTTTTGATAATAAAAAAATGCCTTATTTTCATCCTTTTCAGTTCCAATTTCATCTTGGTAACAAACTCCAAGTCTAAATGTTCCATTAACGTGTCCTATCTCTGCAGATTTTTGATAGTAAACAAATGCCATACATTCATCTTTCTCAACTCCAATTCCATTTTCATAACAATAACCAACATTAAACATTCCATCAGCATCTCCCATATCAGCAGACTTTTTATAATAAATGAATGCCTTATGTTTGTCCTTTTCAATACCAAGTCCATCTTCATAACAAGTACCAACAAAATATGTTCCTTCGGCATGTCCCATCTCGGAAGATTTATAAAAATAAATAAACGCCTTATTATAATCTTTTTCGACTCCATCTCCAGAACGATAACATATGCCAAGGCTAAATACTTCTTCAGCGTTCTTTATTTCAATAGGTTTTTGATTATCACTATGTTCATGCACATTTGTATCATCTTGTGAAATGCCATCCATAATTAATAAGCTTTGGCTGTTTTGCTCAACTTGGTTTTCTTTTAATAATAACGTTATAATCGTTAAAAATGAATATAAATAACATCATAATGTCATAAAGTAATGATTACCTATATCCATGGCACTTAGAGTATCAAATTGCCTGTTGACATAGATTTCAGGATATGTATCGAAATGAGATGACGTTGACATTTTTGACTCAAGCATTTTATCGGCCTCCCTTGTTTGTGCAACGATTTCCGTTGGTTTATCGTCTAAAATATCATTATACCATGTATTTAGAGTGTCATATATTTCTTTAGAAGTTGGTCTTTTGTCTGGCCGAATATCCCAGCATTTAATAATCAATTTAGCAACTAATTCTGGTACATGGTTTGGAATATCTGGACGTAAGCCATCATAAAATATCTTACGAGATAGTTGGAAGTCGTATTGAGCATTGTGGTATGCTCGAAGACCTGATACTATTTCATATGCAATGATGCCAAAAGAATACACATCAGATGCCATACTATACTCTCTATTATATAAAACCTCGGGTGCTATATATTCGAGTATGCCATATACTTTGTCATTGGATCCTATATTAGCTAATTTTGAAAGTCCCAGGTCTACAGTATATGCACTCTGGAAGTTTACTAAGAGTATATTTTTACTATGTAAATCTCGATGAATAAAATTTTGGGAATGAATTATATGAAGGTCATAAGCAATACAATTTAATAAATTCATTTTTTTTTCCACCCCATTTGTGAAATTGAATATCTATTTTGGTGTAAAGAACCCGATGATTCATACTGCATAACAAGTATATAATTTTTGGAAACATCATCTCTTGATATACCCAAACATCTTAAAAAACTCGGTTGTTTAAGACTAATATCACAATATACCTTTAACTTTTTATTATAAAAGTAAGTGTCTTTTTAAGTGTCGTTCGATTATTATATAAATTGTTGAAAAAGAAAATGATGAAAATTACCTCGTTTATAAATTCTTCACTACAGTCATTCGACCTATGAAGTAATTTAAGCGCAACCGTCATTTTTGTTTTGTGACTTTTGTTATCCCATAATGCACGAAATACAGTTGAAAATCCACCCTTTCCTATTTCTTTAATATTTTTAAATTCATTGTAAGGAATCCATGGCAATCGGTATTTATTTTCGATTAGAATTTGTTTCAAGCTATCATCAATATCCAAGTTGTCATGTATCCATTCATTTATAACTAAAATCAATACAACCTTTGTTAATTTAGGTTCAAGAGTATCTTATTGAATTCATAGCTTTAGAAAAACTCACATGGTTTTAGATTGTTTTCCCTAATTAGTGACAAAAAATATATATTATAAATAAAAAAAATAATAAATAAAAATAAAAATAATAAATAAAAATAAAAATAATAAAAGATAGTTTATTACATTCGATACCAATAATCAGCTTTTTGTAAGTCTCTTACTACTCCAATTCCATTTCGATAACAATGCGACTTCATTCATTCCACCAAGCTCTCCCATTTCAGCAGATTTTTGGAAATAAATAAATGCCTTATAATCATCATTTTCAACACCGATTCCATTCTTATAGCACATTCAAACTTAAATAGCAAGGTTGTTAATAAGACTTATATTTCTTAAATATAAAGTATAATATTCAAATAGTATTAAGATTTTTCAAATATTATTTTTCTACTTTATGTATTTGTAAAAATTTTTGCTAAAACTATATATAATTAACTCTTATAATTTTTTTTACTAGTTTATAAAATACTAAAAAGATAAAAAAATATAAAAAATTAAATAGAGCTTTAACTATCACTCTAAACTGTTCTAAACACTATATTGTACTAGACCTATTAAAGAAAAAAAACTAAAAATTTAATTTTAACAATAATAATAAAAATATTACAAACAAAAATATTAATAAAAATATTTTTACAATTTTTTAAAATGTTCTTCATCCAAATAATATGTGTTTAGATTTTAACTTCTTTGTTTTATAAATATTATGATATCTAACAGTTTTAAAAAGATGATATATTCTAATCCACATGGTTTTGTTTTTAGGATTAATTTGTTCCTCTTAATTATTTGGACAAGCCATCATTAATGCTCCAAGATGATAGCTATAAGCAAGCATTTTAATCTATTTACCATGCTTTGCTTTAGTATATAGTTTATAAGTTTTAGAAAAAATTTAGTCCAAGAAGTATTAACAAGTATAGGCACTTCTACAGAATATATTAAACTTTCATCAAAAGAGACAAGTTTTAACTCTCTTAAACTTTTTTTAAAAGAATTAATTAATATACCATAATAATTTGGTATATAGTTAAAAAAATATTAACGTCGAATTGCGGAGTCGCCACTTTAATTAGGGCAAACAGGCCCAAAAATTTTTTATAATTCGCGCCAGAATTTTCAACATACAGTAATCCACTTTCATAATAATTCCCACAGTAATTATCAACTTTATATATTCCATCAGGATCTCCCATATTGGCAGATTTTTGATAATAAATAAATGCCTTATTTTTATCCTTTTCGACTCCAATTCCGTATTCATAACAATTTCCAACGGAATACAACCCTTTAGCATCTTCCATATCAGCAGATTTTTTATAATAAACAAGTGCCTCATGCTCATTCTTCTCAACCCCAATTCCATTTTCGTAAAAATGTCCAGTATTGCACATTCCTTCAGAAGATCCAATATCAGCAGACTGCTTATAATAAGTAAATGCCATATGTTCATCGTTTTCAACCCCGATTCCATTTTCGTAACAATAACCAACATTCAACATCCCCTTAGCATCTCCCATATCAGCAGATTTTAGGTAGTGAATAAATGCCATGTGTTCGTTCTTCTCAACACCAATTCCATGATGATAACAATAGCCAACCTGAAAGATTCCGTTAACATTCTCCATCTCTGCAGATTTTTGATAATAAATAAATGCTTTGCTATCATCTTTTTCGACTCCAATACCATCACCATAACAAATGCCAAGATTATATATTGCGTCAGCCTGTCCCATATCGGCAGATTTTTGATAATGAATAAATGCATTATATTCATCCTTTTCAACGCCAATTCCTGTTTCATAGCAAACACCAAGATTATATAACCCATAAGCATTTCCCATTTCAGCAGATAATTGAAAATAAATGAATGCCTTGCATTTATCTTTTTCAATTCCAATTCCATTAAGAAAACAATCCCCAACATGAAAAATTCCATCTGAATTTTTCATATCAGCAGATTTTCGATAGTAAATAAATGCCATATGTTCATCTTTCTCAACTCAAATTCCATTTTCGTAACAATAACCAGCATAAAACATTCCATCAGCATCTCCCATATCAGCAGATTTTTTATAATAAATGAATGCTTTATTTTCATCCTTTTCAACTCCAATTCCATCTTCATAACAGCCGGCAACGTTATATGTTCCAATAATATCACCCATCTCAGCCGATTTTAAAAAGTGAATAAATGCCTTATGATCATTCTTTTCAACACAAATTCCATTTTTGTAATAATATCCAACAGCATACATTCCTTCAGCATTTCCCATTACTGCAGATTTTTGATAATAAAAAAATGCCTTATTTTCATCCTTTTCAGTTCCAATTTCATCTTGGTAACAAACTCCAAGTCTAAATGTTCCATTAACGTGTCCTATCTCTGCAGATTTTTGATAGTAAACAAATGCCATACATTCATCTTTCTCAACTCCAATTCCATTTTCATAACAATAACCAACATTAAACATTCCATCAGCATCTCCCATATCAGCAGACTTTTTATAATAAATGAATGCCTTATGTTTGTCCTTTTCAATACCAAGTCCATCTTCATAACAAGTACCAACAAAATATGTTCCTTCGGCATGTCCCATCTCGGAAGATTTATAAAAATAAATAAACGCCTTATTATAATCTTTTTCGACTCCATCTCCAGAACGATAACATATGCCAAGGCTAAATACTTCTTCAGCGTTCTTTATTTCAATAGGTTTTTGATTATCACTATGTTCATGCACATTTGTATCATCTTGTGAAATGCCATCCATAATTAATAAGCTTTGGCTGTTTTGCTCAACTTGGTTTTCTTTTAATAATAACGTTATAATCGTTAAAAATGAATATAAATAACATCATAATGTCATAAAGTAATGATTACCTATATCCATGGCACTTAGAGTATCAAATTGCCTGTTGACATAGATTTCAGGATATGTATCGAAATGAGATGACGTTGACATTTTTGACTCAAGCATTTTATCGGCCTCCCTTGTTTGTGCAACGATTTCCGTTGGTTTATCGTCTAAAATATCATTATACCATGTATTTAGAGTGTCATATATTTCTTTAGAAGTTGGTCTTTTGTCTGGCCGAATATCCCAGCATTTAATAATCAATTTAGCAACTAATTCTGGTACATGGTTTGGAATATCTGGACGTAAGCCATCATAAAATATCTTACGAGATAGTTGGAAGTCGTATTGAGCATTGTGGTATGCTCGAAGACCTGATACTATTTCATATGCAATGATGCCAAAAGAATACACATCAGATGCCATACTATACTCTCTATTATATAAAACCTCGGGTGCTATATATTCGAGTATGCCATATACTTTGTCATTGGATCCTATATTAGCTAATTTTGAAAGTCCCAGGTCTACAGTATATGCACTCTGGAAGTTTACTAAGAGTATATTTTTACTATGTAAATCTCGATGAATAAAATTTTGGGAATGAATTATATGAAGGTCATAAGCAATACAATTTAATAAATTCATTTTTTTTTCCACCCCATTTGTGAAATTGAATATCTATTTTGGTGTAAAGAACCCGATGATTCATACTGCATAACAAGTATATAATTTTTGGAAACATCATCTCTTGATATACCCAAACATCTTAAAAAACTCGGTTGTTTAAGACTAATATCACAATATACCTTTAACTTTTTATTATAAAAGTAAGTGTCTTTTTAAGTGTCGTTCGATTATTATATAAATTGTTGAAAAAGAAAATGATGAAAATTACCTCGTTTATAAATTCTTCACTACAGTCATTCGACCTATGAAGTAATTTAAGCGCAACCGTCATTTTTGTTTTGTGACTTTTGTTATCCCATAATGCACGAAATACAGTTGAAAATCCACCCTTTCCTATTTCTTTAATATTTTTAAATTCATTGTAAGGAATCCATGGCAATCGGTATTTATTTTCGATTAGAATTTGTTTCAAGCTATCATCAATATCCAAGTTGTCATGTATCCATTCATTTATAACTAAAATCAATACAACCTTTGTTAATTTAGGTTCAAGAGTATCTTATTGAATTCATAGCTTTAGAAAAACTCACATGGTTTTAGATTGTTTTCCCTAATTAGTGACAAAAAATATATATTATAAATAAAAAAAATAATAAATAAAAATAAAAATAATAAATAAAAATAAAAATAATAAAAGATAGTTTATTACATTCGATACC